ATTGTTAGTTGACACATATCAAGCAAGAGTTTCTTCATAAATATGCATTAGGTTATAATGTATAAGTATGAATAATGCATAAACATGAACTAAATGTACTAAGCCATTAAGATACATTATTTTAAGAAGCACCTTGCTTATACATATTAATACTTATAATTTTCACAGGACTTTATCATCCTGTCCTAACATATTTTAGCATTGAAACTGCAATTTGTATGTACCCAGTACTTACTCAGATACCTTTATTAAAATGCAAATATTTTAGTAACATATTTGTAAATAGTAATGTTTTACCACTAAAAGTGAAAATATTTTAATTTTAATATAAAATGTATTTGAATTTTTACAATCAGGATTCTGAAATTTTTACTTTTATATTTTATTTTATAGTTTTGCCAGCCCATGCTGTAAAATAAAATAAGAATTAGTAAAGATGAGGGATCAAAACCAAAATAATCACAATAGAAATTACTTTATATTGTATTTACAAGACTTGAAATATAGTAGTGAGTTTACAATTTATTTGTCTTATTTCTGCCTGGTTATTCATGAACCACAAGCTAAAAGCATAATTATTAGGGTATAGGGTAATTCAACCTTAGTAAAATATGATTTTTGTGACCTTTGCAGTTGTATGAGCTGATTTACATATCCAAGCTATCTAAATATTTCACGTTTAGTTTTTCTTTTTTAATTTACTTAAGTCACTTGCATTGGATTTCTTCCTATAAAAATATGGTATCACAACTTGTAATGATAATTGCCTAGTGGCAGAGATCACAATTGTGTTGAGTGATTTATTGTAAAATATTATTTTAGTTTTTCCTTCTTTTCTAAAATTTCTACCTCTCCTTAAAGCACCAATCAGAAAAGCCTTATTATCTTGATATATTAACACTTTGTATCAACCTGATTAGACATCTCTTGAGATGAGATCTTTATTCCCATGGTGTTAATAAGAAGAGCCAAGTACATATATATATATATATATATACATATTGAAAGCTGTTAAACTGTATTGAGGCACAAGATCTCACTTTCAAAGAAAAGAAGTAGTCATTTCTCTACTCTACAGAGATATTTTCATTTAGGGTCTAACAGGAAACATTTAAAGATCATCTTATACCATATTCCATTCATTTATTCATTCTTGCAACACTATAAGTGCATAAAAATTTTAAATGACAAGTATGCGAGTGGTGTCACATCAATTCATAAGCACAATGCATCATGAATATCTATAGTATGAACGCCAGTGCTAGAGCTGCAGGAAATTAGGAGCTACATACAAGAATATGTGTACTCTTAAATGTCTGCTAGAAAGGAAAACTGGTATATGAATAATCAGAGAACATAGCAGGTATAATAACTTTAATATGTACTTTATATCTGAAAGAATTATAACATCATTAATGCAAATAGAAGTTCCAGGAGAGAAACCGATTAGGAGGATAAAATAAATTCCAATGTGAGCCACTTTCTTTTGAAGTAATACAGTTTTAATTATAACAGTGCTTGGTGTATAGCAGCTTCACTGGAGATAATTAAGAAAAAATTAACTAAAAATGGAACCATTATTGTCAAATATTTATTCCTTCCTATAATGGAAAGACCAGTCACTTTGTGAAGAAAGGGTTTTTTTTCTATTCCAGTGTGGATAATTAAGAGTTACATATCTTATAGTATACTTAACACATTAGAAATGCTATTAATTATTTATTTATTTTGTGGAGCATGAGCTTTTGATAGCTAAGTTTGCTGTTGGAATCCACTGTCTGTCTAATTACCCTGGTTATGGAATTTTAAAAGCATAGCCATAAATGAAGGACAGACAAAACACAGCTCAGAGAAATAACTGAAATTTCTCAAAGATCCATAGTGACAATAGGAATAGAATTTAAATCTGGTCTCTCTTTGTTCAGCGAACACTAAACAAAATGCCATCTTCTCCTCCAGAAGGAAAACAAAGCAATGAGCTGCAAATCAATCATAATATATTTGACATTTATTGGCCCATTTGTATTTGTCTGGTGCTAGGGTAAATGCTTTAGATATAAAAGCGAGTTTAATTTTCAGGAGAAACCTATGATGTATGTATTATTATTCTCCCTCTGCAGAAGAGGAAATGTGGTCTATAGCAATTGAAAAGTCTGCCCAAATCACACAGCTACTGCCCATCAAAGCAGGACTTAACCACAGCTCGCTCTGGCATGAAATCTCACCCCTCTACTTTCCCATTGTAAAGAACTGTATCCTGTCTCCTGGTGCTGTGTAATAAGGAAAGCCAGGACAATGAAAAGACACACATGGGGCTGGGGATTTAGCTCAGCGGCACAGCGCCTGCCTGGCAAGCACAAGGTCGTGAGTTCAACTCCTGGTACCGGAAGAAAAAAATAAAAGACACACAGGGAGATGATCTAAGGATGTTGTTCCATGGTAACTTGAGCACATAAACTAATGTTCCCCCATTTCTACTCCAGGTGAGAGATTCAACTATCCCTCTACTTGCCCCACAATGGGATTGGGTGGATTTCAGCCTTGACTTCTTCATCGTCATCCTCACAGGCAGTTAATTATCAAACTCATCAATTAAAGTTCTTCATAGCTTTACATATCCTTTCATGCTTTTTGGCACTATCCTTCAAAATGCCATTGTTTTCCCTCTGGTGTGTAGCAAACATCTCCGAGTACCTGTCCTCCGTGTATTTCACTGTACCTTTCCCAAACATGTCTCACAAACAGCCAGAATGATTTATGTTTGTAAAATGCAAGTACATGTTTGCTTACAGTACAGCGTCCCTGCCTATGAAATACAATCTGCATTTTACATGATACACAACACCCTCGAGTATGCAGACCCTTTTTTCTCCATAAAAACACTTACTATAGTAAAATATATACAATGCCAGAAATATACAGTGTTTTTACGTCCATATCTCTGCACATACATTTTTTTTGCTGGTAATACTTTACTTCTCCTGGTATTCTTTTATGGTTTCAAGTCTTAGTTGAGATACTCCTCCTTCTGGGTTTAGTTCGCTGATGGTCCAGGACTGAGTGAACGTGCCACTCAAGGCTATTCGTTATCATAGCTTTGGCGGCACTGGTGTTTAACCATCAGTTCATTGTCTGTGTCCCTCATGATGTCAGGACTCATTCTGCTTCCATTTAAGTAATGGGAAGCAAGGAAGAGCTCAGATAAACTCCCTAACACTTGTCCAAGGTTATCAAGGATTAATCCCAAGTGAATAACCTGGACTGCTTATTCCCATTCATTTTAATTAGATGTGTTCTTGTACAATGCAGATGGCAAATTGTTTGATCTCTGACAATGGAAGAATAAAGCACTTTAAATGCCAGTTCTCCTGATCTCTCTCTTCTCTCTCTCTCTTTTTCTCTCTCTCTCTTTCTCTCAACATGTGTTGACTCTTTCTCAAACTCTATTTTTGACTAAGAGAAGTTAGCAATTCCATCATCTGAATCAGAATGATTTTCAAATTGTAGAAAATAAGTTTATCAACAACTTCAGATCACATTTTAAATATTTCAAAAAAATTAAATACAGTTTTAAGCTGGGCATGGTGGTACATGCCTGTAATCTCAGCATTTGGGAGGCTGAGGCAGGAGGATGGCCATGAATTCAAAGCCAGCCCGCGCTACACAGTGATACCCTGTTGCAAATAAAACAAAACAAAATAAAGTAAAATGCAGTTTTAAGTATGCTTAAAACCTACATATTGTGCATATTAATCACCTACTACTAGACAACTGGGAAACACCAGCCAATTGGGGAAAGAATGTTTTGTCCTCACTTTTCCTTGAGGACTGCTTGAAAGAAATTTTTCTTTTCACTTACTGCTTATATGTGTAGCCGGATAAAGTACATGGCTAGACTCAGTTTAAAGCAGACATACTTTACAATAGTTCAATTCCATCACAGCTTTTAGAAATATAATTTTATAGTGCTAAGGTGGTATTCTTAACTCCATTGGTTTTGAATGTCATGTAAAAGTCAGAAGAGAATTGAAAAGCAAGGAAAATAAACAGCAATTAATAAACAGCATAATAGAAAAACTATTACTTTCCATTTTTAAGTTCAACTTGAGATCTAGTAAGTAAAATTAGAAGAAAAATATGTCAGTTTATTTTCTAATATCTTTTCCAAACTTTATAGGCATGACATTATAGCATGTGTTAGAATAAACTGTTCCCTTTGTCATACATAAAAACTGTGTTTAGTACTCTGCTTTCTTGATATGTTTTTTTCCTTACTTACATTTTCCCAAATGTTAGTAATACATTGTAGCTCATTGTGAAAATTCAATTTTTTTGCTAATTTTCTCAGATTCCAGTGGCCACAGGAAATACTTTTGTGCTTCGGATGCACTTCTTTTTCATCTGCCTTTATGAGAAAAATAAAATTCTCCAATGTGAACTTACTCATCCTTTCATGACATTTCCCACCTGTGACTCAATTTGGATAGAAAATTTCTTAAATCTATGTTTGTGCCCTGTATGCTGCTATGAAGCTCTGTTGCATGCTGGTTGGGTGGGTTTTATGTGCCTTGAGATTGATTATTCAGTGTGTTGGATTATGGGTACTCCTTTTGGAAAACCTATCCCAATACGATTAGAAGTTTATCTTAGAAAATTTGTTACTGGAATGTTGTTCAATTTGGTATGTGTAATGAGAGAAGAATTGAACTAGTGGATAATTATATAATAACTCTTGTGTAATTTTATCCTTATGTAAAAAGGATTTATCCTTATGTAAAAAGCAACCTCATCTGCAAAATGTGATAGTATATTTAGTCATTGATTAGTGCGAGGGTTAAATGAACTGAGGATGTAAAGATTCAGTAGGCAGTAAGTTGGCCCCTGCTGGCTACCTTTCAATCCTTCATCATAGGCAGCATGCTTACTAAGGATGCCGTACGGCAGTTGGGGCCTGGAGAAAATGTAGACTGGGTCCAAAAAAGAAGTTAACAACTTCTTACCTCCAGAGAGTCATCAGCATTCACCATCCAACAGTCTGTCCAGGTGGCCAGAATCAAAAACCCAGTGGAGAAAAAGGCAAAGAAGCAGGCAGCATACTGAACAAGGTCCCTCATGGTGGTGAGCAGCCTGCTCGGAAGGGACACAGGCAGGCAACAGGCCCAGGCCCACGCCGGTACCTGGAATGCTACTGGGCCTCTGTGTCTGCTACCTGGGGGCGAGAAAGCCCAGGTCTTTTCCTTTTCCTTCCACCCCACTGCGTGCACCGTAAGTAGCAGTAAGAGTAACACAAACAGGCTGTAACCAACAGAGGGTCCTGGAGGTCATTATCCAAACCAACCAGCATCCAATCAGAAGCCAGCTCAGTGAAAGGACTGAGTACATTCTGGGTCAGGGAGAGCGGGAGCCTGGTAACCTTTCCTGCCCAGACTGGGGGTTTGTGCAGTAGGATGGTCAGCAAAGGCATAGGCCAGAGCCAAGACTGGGTGAGGGTTTCGCAGGGGGAGCCTGTGACCAATCCTTCCTGCCCTGCAGGGAGAGGGAGCTGCTTTCCTCCCCCTCAGAAGAAAGTTTCACGGTCTGCTGAGTGCTATTTTATTGTTAGGACTATTTTAATATTCGCTGACTACCTTCGATGGACAGACCACAGGCGAAATTATGCTAAGCAAGTACTGGCTCAAGGGAGTTTGCATTCCAAAGTGCTGGACAGAGCCGCCCCACCAAGGACTTCTAGCACCTGAGCAACGGGCAGGGTCAAGGATCCTAACTTGTCAGCATCAGGAACTGGGCACAGTTGTGTGAATGCCTAAATAATAACTCTATTTTTGCCTTGTAAAGCGGTACACACCTGTAATCCCAGCAACACGAGAGGCTGTGGCAGGAGTACTGCAAGTTTAAGGCCAGCCTCAGCAACTTAGTGAGAGCTTGTCTTAAAATATAAAAAGGACTGGGGGATATAGCTGAGTTGTAGAGTGCCCCTGGGTTCCATTCTCCTGTACCAAAAATAATTAAATTATTTGTAATTAAATTGTAAAATTAAAAAGCGCACACACACACGCACCATATGAAACAAACAAAACAATACAGAAAACTCAACATTTTTCAACAATGCAGTCATTTTACAACAAATACAAAATCTTGAGTTGTTTTACAATGCTTCCTTTACATATACATATATGTATGTATATATGCTCTTCTTTGTGTGTGTGTGTGCGTGCATGCTTATTTTCAGTGGGTTATTGTTGCCTTATTTTAAAATATATTTGTAAAACTTTTCTAAATGGTTTATAGACATGGTATCATTTCATTTTCATAAGCATCATAAGAAGGCTTTAATACCCCACTTTACAAAAACGGCAGCCCAAAGATTCTGAGCATAGCAGCTTCACAAAGAGAAATGACGGCCAGAGTTGCTGGGATTAACAGGTTCACTTAGAAATTATTACACTGCTTATGGAGAACTAAAAATAAAACTAGCTGTTCTAGCAATCTTACGACTGAGTGCATATCTAATGGAAATAAAGTCAGTGTCTACAACAGACATCTAAGCACACTTGTTTGTTGCAGTGTTATTCACAAAAGACAAGAGAAAGAAACAAGCTCAGTGTGTATCCACTGATGAATGGATAAAGCAAACGTGGTATCCGTATATAATGGAGTACAACTCAGTCATAAATATGATGAAATCCTATCATTTGCACAACATGAATGAAACTGAAGGATATTACATAATGGGAAATAAATCAGGCACAGAGAGAGAAATATATGATCCCACCCCTCACATTTTAGTAGAATCTAAGACAAGTTGACCTCAGAGAATTATAATGTAGAATAGTGCTTATCCATTTCTGCAGGGATGGAAAGGTAAGCGGGGTTAGGGAAGAGTTTAGGCAATGATTATACAGTTACCGGTTGTAGTAATAAATTCTAGCATTCAATTACACAATCAGGCGACTAGAGTTAACAATAATGTGTTGTGGTTTTGATGAGTCACAAGTGACGCTTTCCTTGTGCCCTGCCATTTAAAATGCTAAGGAGGGCGCAGACCAATTCAAAGAACAAAGGCCCATTACAGGAAAGTCCCAAGTCAGCTACGAGGTTATGGCCCAGCAGCCTCTCGCGCTGTAGTTTTTTCACTGTGCACATTGCAGCAGTGGTTCTGAAGCCTCAGCACACGCAGGAACCACCAAGGCCACTGTTTATGAATACGGACCAGGGAATTCCACCTCTAGAGAACTGGATTTGGGAAACAGTGATAGCCAAGAACTCATATTTTATAAACAGTGGACCCTCGGATTATGACTGGCCTGACCTATGAACAATATGGGCTACAACTGGAATTGTAATTTTAACTGATGACCACTGTCTTGAGTCATGACCCAAATGCCACCCACCTGTGCTTGCAGATGGTCTCAGATACAGATTGAATCCCGAAAGAGCTCTGGAAGGAACATTACAATAGCCTTTCCTGTGTGGGGTGAATTGGGAAATCCTGGGCCAGGGTCTCTCTAGGGACACTGAGCTCTGCCTGTGTACAGCAGAGAGACTTTGAAGGGTGTGTAGGGGAGCCTGAGCTTTTAATTGACAATCTGAGTTACAACTCGAGTTTGCAAGTCTGGGGTTCACTGTGTGTTTGATATAAACGTGTTTTTCTGAGATAGATGGCCAAACTTTGAGAGACTAGTTCAAAAAAGAAGCAAAATTCCAGCATAATACTACCAATAAAATTGGGGATATTAATATTGCATCTCAGATAGTGACTTTTCCCTAACTAGTACTGTTAATAAATAGGAAATTTTTCTCAAACACTTCTGTATGAAAAGCTTTATCCCCAGTGATGCAATGTTGAGAGGTGGGGCCTAGAAAGGTAATTGGATCCTGAAGGCACAGCCTTCATCAATGGATTAACTCATTGATGAGTTTATAGCTGAGTGGGTTTATTATGGGCTGGGCCAGTTGGAGATAGCAGTTTACCGGGGACATAACTTCGAAGAGTATATTCTTTCCCCAGCTCCTTCCTTTCCTTCTGGCTCTGTATAATTTCTGTTTTCCAGATGCCAGGAGTTGAATAATGTTCTTCTACTATATCCTTCTGCCATGATGTTTCTGCTTTGGAGCCAGACAAATATAGACTGAAAGCTCTGAAATCATGAACTAAAATAAATGCCTCTTCTTGTAAGTTGCATCAGGTATTTTATGCTAGCAATGGAAAGATAACTAATAGAAGTAATCTCAATATCACAATCTGTTGGACAGGAGTCAGGAAGAGAAAAACACTGACCATCCCTATATGCAAACACGGACATGTATACATGTATTTCTGGAAATTGGAGATTCTGACATAAAAAAGTTTAGATGCTCATGTATTTTACTCTTGGTATTTACCTGGCATTGTGTTATGGTAGAACTACCTCTGAATTCAAGTGACTGTAGAAAAACTCCTGAATTTAAATTTATTATGCTTAGAGAAAAAGATAGTCATTCTTAAATGTTAATTCTGTGGCGGAGGCCGTAGCATACCAGGAGGCTTCAGAAAGGGGAGTCATGCAGACTGATAGTGGAGGAAAGACTTTGTGGCTGGGGCGTGAGTACAGTTTTAAGGAAGAGAGCTGAGCGGCGGGCTGTGAGGATGGAGATGCAGATGCAGAGTACATCCCGAGTCTGTCTACACGACTTGTTCTCTGCCTTGCTCTAGACTCAATTTTCTAGCTTTATGAGCTCAACTGAAGTTCGGTTTCATTTCATCCAAGACACTGATGGACAGCATACTCTGATTCTAGCACTCTGCTAGATCCTGGGGACACAGAGAAAGTAAAAGGTGGATGACCTGGTTTTAGTCCATGAGAAGTTTACTCTTCAGCGGTGGCCAATACCTAGGCCCTGAGAGGAATCGGAAAGTTCCATTCAGGTAAGTCTGACAACAGTTTACATGCTAGCAACACTCCCAATAATAGTATGTAGGCACATTAGATGGAAAGATGTAGTTTCTCAGCTTATTGTAAGCACAAAATATAATAATCATCAATTGCAGGGTGCAATAGGGTTTACAAAATATTTTCAAGTGCATTATCCCATGTTCTAAAGACCAACATCTTTGTTTTGTTCCTCAGTAGATCCCACATGCTTAAAAACCTACCTGGCACATGGTAAACTCTCGCTAGACATATATTAATTAATCCTCAGAATCTCTACATTTTATGGAATATACAGCCATATTATATTCTATATTTCAGAAAACATCCAGAGTCCCCTAGAATGTACATTAGACTGACACAAGAGGGCTGATCATCTTTGCAAATCCAGGGCTATATATTTTGCAAGATCTCAAAGACAAACATTTTAATCACTCGACTATGCACTGTGTTTGCCCTCACCCAGCATTTGCATGACTCTTGACAGAGGTTTTAGAGCTGCCTGGTAATCAGGTGAACAATACCCTCAGCTTTACCACCCTGGACCATTAAGAAGGAAGTAATTGCAGAACTGAAAATGCTGCAATTGTCCCTTCCATCCTGCAGGTGGAAGCAGCCCTGCATTTTCAGCTGGGCAAAATAACATTATGTTATTGTGCATGTGTGCACTCCATTGTTTCTGCTGGTCTCACAAAATGTTCCTTCTACATTCACTGCAATAATGCAGGTCCTTAGAAAGAGTAAACTAAGTTATACCACATCTTGTAAATAATTTCTTTCTCCCTTTTGAAATGCCCATTGATCATTTGGAAAATCTACACAATAAATTCAGTTGCTGTTGTCAAAATCCATGCAGGCTGTAACAAATGGCAAAATAAATCATTGGTTAAAGGTTTGGATCTCAGAGTCAGAGAAATCTGAGTTCAGGCTAAGCCAATTATTACATGTCAGATTTAAAACAAACTATAGTATTACTAAGGCTGCTTCTTGTCAATAAAATGAGAATTATGAACTTTGTCTCCAAACAGTTATGGAAAATAACATTTTAAAGGTTTTAATACATTGCATAGAATATAATGAACAATCAAATAATAAGTATTGTGATTTGTATATGACTACCTTGTTCTTTCACATATGTATCTGAATATGTATGTACTGTATATATATATATATACATATATCTTCTCTAGCAACAGTAAAATGAAACACCTAGGAAATAAAAAGTACAATTATAAAGCAACTTTAGTTTTTATCTCTATGGCTCTTTTAAATATACTGTATTTAGTTTTGACTAATTCTTCTCCTGAATATGTATAAAATCTATGACATATTTCATGATATTTATATCATCTTCAGGTAATACAAAATCTTTTAGTAATTGTGAATAATAAAGATGTGGTGTCAG